GGTGAGTCACCAGCGATGGCATAGGCTGCAGCCCCTGCTGCAGTGGGCTGCCATAAGCTACCGTGTGTGGCCGGCAGCCAGCGTGAGCGGCTGGCAGCCGGTGTGAGCTGCCAAAAGCTGCCGTCCAGAGGCTGGTGACCGATCTGCCTCACCCGGGGAGAGCACAATGATAATATCAACATGGGCCAGTGAAGCGACGTCCTCCACAACTAGACTTAAGAACTAAAGGATAGCAGCTTGTCTGTTCCCCTTCCCCGATTCCCCAACGCTGTTTCCCTCTCCCAATTCCCCAATAAAATCTTTAACAAAAAAAAAAAAAATTACTTTGACTATTCCAAAGGCACAATCTTACTGAATATAGGCATTTCTCCTATAAGCAACATAGCTTGATTTTCAATGCATGGTATCTGTTCATCGAGGTTACTCCCTAGGCCCATCAGCTACTAACATAAAGCACAACTAGACTAATGAAAAGAGCGCGGGCATCTACCAAGTTGTTTCCAATAGGGGATAAAAGAGGAAATGGCAAAAATGTGTTAATAATGCTGTAAAAGTAAAGCTGTTATTCTCATGCAAAGAGAGATAATCAAAAGGTGCATTTACTGAGGTATGTGCAGATTTTATAACTATACTCTTAATTATGAAATACTCCTATTATGTAAATTTCTGTAGGAAAAATAACTATTACCATGAATAAGCTCTCAAGTCCTAAATAATTCTTTCCTATTCAAATAATTGCTTTTATAGTTTGATTTTTTAAATATAATTTGATTTTGATAACTAAGTTTCTAGGAACATACCTACCATGTTATAGCAGACTAGAACTATGACCTCAAAATGGATCTATATACTTTTCATTCATACCTACCTGTAGAACCACATGTTGCTTCAGATATATTCTGAGTTGCCTTTTCATTTCTCTGGTTTGGTGTAGAAATTACAAGTCTGTCTTGTCCCCTGACACTTATCTCCGTTTTGTTACCAATTCCCTTCAAAATAAGGCAAATTTAAAATTAGGTGATTACCAGGCAATGGCATCATGGGCTTATAAATATATAAAGATAGTTTAAGACTATAATTTGCTTGAATTTTATATTGTCTTTTTTGCAGTAATTTATTATCTTAGTCATTATCAGAACAATTTTATTAAGTCATCAGGATGTATTCCAAAATGCACAATGAGATTTTGTGGGGGGTAAGAAAACCTCTTTGTCTAAGTCCAGATGATGAATATCACTAAAAAAATGAATGTGTATCACATAATTTTCTGTCAAAAACCCAGTATTTTCTGGTCTGAAGAGTCCCTCCCTTTACTCATATAAGAGAACTCTAGTCATTTTCATTTGGTCAAGTACCCTATTACACAGACAAAAATGTCAACAAATCTTGAAAGACAAAAACATCCACAGGTACAGAAATGTCTTTCATGGTGACCAAAATGTGCACCCAATAAGCAACTTGGAGCAGGTAGAAAGCAGATACAATTACAGTTCTGTCTCATTTTAGGGATTTCAATGAAATAAAGGAATGATTTATACGTATATATGTATTTTTAAAGCCTTCATTTATAAAAGGTCAGTTTTATCCTGAATTTCATTTAAATAGCACTCTTTGGAGGGGGATGACAAAAGTTTGATTTGTGCATCTAAAAGCAGGTTAAAAACTAGCTCCAAGAATGGAGCCAATTTGTATTAAAAAAAGATGCAGACTATTCATTTGCTGTTCAAAGCTATCAGCAGAACCAAGTGGGGACTGTAACAAGTTTTTCCAAGCGGCTTAGCCTTAATGACATCAGTTGAACGTACAGGCATGAAGAGGTTAAGAGAGAACCCTTACACTTCTCTCTAGGAAAATATATCACTAATAAGGCACACCTGTATTTAATTACTTTAATGTGCATATGACAATGTTAGGAAACACAGAATTCTTCAAAAGTACACATCCACGAGGTGTCACTAAATTGAATTCACAAGCCCACAACTGTGGTATTGGTGGGGGGTGGGGGTAGTGAAGAGGTCCATGATTGAATAACCATTACAAATCTTATGAAGAGTTTTAAAGTTTTAAAACTAAAGTATAAGTGCCCTATATGCAGGCCCAGGGCTGGCTGATGGGAGACATTCAGTTTCACCTCAGACCCAAGCTATCATCACAGTTAATTGTTAAAGAACTAACACAGTTCTGGTATTTCTCTAAAATGCATTAGATACCCCAAAGCCAATATGAGCCTAACAAAATAGCTGGTGCAACCAAACAGATCAGCAGGTACAATTATTACAATGGTTAATTCAGATAATTAACAAAAATGACTTAAAAAGAAGCACACTTTTCAACTAAGAAAAACAATACAAACTAGAAACAGGCAAAGGGCCAATTTTCTTTCCATGACTTTAGGGAGCTAGGCTCAATTTTGGCTGCACAGCTCAAGATTAATCTAGTACAGATGGGGATATTACAAAAGCGGGAGGAGGGAGAAAAACAGCCTTTTTGCCTATGTCTTTTTTTTGCCCCCTCCTAAACAAACTGGCCGTACATTTCAATTGCAGAGGATAAAAAGCGTATTTAAATTATGACTGTTATCTTTTAAATGCCAAGGTTGACACTTATTAAATACTGTTTCCCCAAAAAATCCTTGAAAAAAGAGGTACCTTCGTTGAATAAACAAATTGATCGATAAATTTCCCATCTCCTGTAGCATTCTGAAGAGCAAACACTTGTTCAATTTTCACAACTGGAGACATGTTACACTTCTGCAAATCCAGGCTCCCTTTGTGCATTGTAATGGAAGCTGGTAAGGATTTCCTTGCTGCTGCTGTTTTCCAGGCGATTTTAACAGGGGGTGGCTCTTCCTCTTCCACACTCATGTGCCGCCTCTGGCTATGTCTCCGAATTTCAGTACTTGATAGTGAGGAGGCCACCTCACCTGCATTGGTCTGTTCCGGCTGAGTGTTCAGCACTGATCTTGGTCTCCGGGTTTTTTTAACTTCAGCTTTGGAGGTGACATTCTTTTTTGCTTGGGATAAAGCCTCCTCAGGCTGTTTATCAATATAGATAAAAGTATACTGTTCTATTCTTTCCTCTCGGGTCATTTTCAATGCTTTCTCTGCATGGGCGATGCCAATATCCCATTGAGCACGTTCTCTCTGTGGTCGAGGTTTCCGAATCTTTAAAAAGAGATACAGGCATTATCAGACACATGTGAATCTATCAGGTACACTTAAACCAATAGTATTCCCATGTGAGCCTGTCATCTTTCTAGCTTTACATAAATATCTTCAGGGTTTTCAGTCAAATCAATGAAATGTGCTAACTCCGTAATTCTGATAAATCGGTTTTACTAGCAGATGACATGTAGCTCTATGCTTTCATCTATCCTTTGTTGACCACTCTGCTGGACAAGTCCCTCAAAGAAGAAGTCGTCCTTCTCACACCATATTCATAAAAAAGCAGCAGTAAAGGACAAAGAGGAGAAAGATTACAGAAATGATTGCTTTCAGTGACCAATAAAACACTAACATTAAGACACCCTGGGCAGGCCAAGTGGCACGTTGGTTAAGAGCTGGCTTGGGATACCAGGGGACCCCAGTTCAGATCCCACATATGAGGGCCAGTGACACTGCCCTCTACAGCTAAGATGCTGAACAGCTCAACCTGGAGCTGGGCTGCTGTGAGTCGCCAGCGACGGCGTGGGCTGCAGCCCCTGTGGCAGTGGGTTGCCATGGACTACCGTGTGTAGCCAGCAGCCAGCATGAGTGGCCAGCAGCCGCCGTAAGCAGCCGTCCAGAAGCCGGCGACTAATCTGCCTTGCCCAGGAAGAGCGCAATGATGGTGCCAACTTGGGCCAGTGAAGCAACGTCCTCCACAACTAGGCTGAAGAACAAAAGGACAACTTGTCTGTTCCCCTTCCCCCAATTTCCCAATAAATATACATATATATATATATATACATATATATATATATATATATATATATGTATATATATATATATATATATAAAGAATGACACCCTAAAGCTGCAGGGTGCTACAGAGCTCACAACAAAGTGAACTGGCAGAGAGCCAGCATCTGAAGCTGGGCTGCTAGTTTGTACCAATAATGCAAATGGGCAGAATGAAGAGAAAGGACCGAGCCCCGAGGAACACATGTAAGTTGACAAGACACAGCAAAGTAGGAATGTATGAAAGAAAAAATGAATCTGAATCACAGTTTCCATAGGTCTCTGTATCCAGGGTTGATCACAAGATTTTGGATTGGCAAGGCAGATAAGAAAACTTTAAATAAAGAAAGGTACATGAGATGACCAAAGTATTTAGGAATTATCCAGGTTAAACTGAGGTAACCAGAAATTAGCTAATGAAACTCTGAGATTGTCTAGTATATGTCAAACACTGATGTATAAATCTGTAAAATATAAGAGTCTGATAAAATCAATCGAAATCCCCCGATTAAATTTAGCTTTGAAAGTGTAATATGACAAATTTATGAATCACAAGAGATCCACACTAAAATTAGTTAAGTTTAAAAATATCAACCAGAGTATCAAGAGTTCATGTCAAAAATCTAAAAAATCCACCACCACACCAAACATATTTCTTGGTTCCATCACTTGTGTGACCTTGATTGAACCAGTTAAGCTTTCTGTGCCTCAATTTCTTCATCTGCAGAAACAAGAATAGTATCTACCTCATGTTATGAAGATTAAATGAATTAATATATATATTAAATACTTAAAACAGTGCCTGTCTCACAGTAGGTACTCACCAAATATTTTTCAAACTTTACTTTCATCAAAAATCTTGTTAAATAAAAGTAAAGGGGAATTATGGAAAGACGCTGAAATAGGAAAAAAAAAAATCCCCTGACAAAATTCTCATTTCACTAGCATCTACTACTAGACTTAACGTATATTAATTCTATTCAAAACAGAATCCAACACTGTATTAAGCAGATAGTTTTTAATAGTATTATGTTGTTTATGACATATAAAACTTATTGATACACTTACAATAAATTATTAACATTGGAGGAGTTAAAATAACAAATCATTCTAACAATGGTCTGAATTAAAATATAAAGTCTGAACTCTACTAAATTATGAAGTCCTTTAAAAACCATATTTGATTGATAATGTGAACATGTTGTCAGTTACCTTTTGTTTCTCGGAGTGATTACTGGCTTGTTTAGTTGCCTCAGCCAGTAATTCTTCATACTGTTTATGACCTTTATACTCTCGTACCCGCTTTTCATGAACCCATGCCCTCTCTGGCTGGTTGCTAAAAAATTGGACGTGATATTCTCGCGCACCTGCAAATAAAAATCCGTATTAACCATTTCAGAACATAAACATCCACATATACGCTGCCAAAAACGCAAACCTAAGCCAGGTTCCCTAGTATTACCCCTATTAGAACTTGTATGTTTTGGATTGTCCAAAGATATAATCCAACACCTATAAATTACACAACTAATAGTTATTATAAAAATTTTTTAAAAATCACCCCAAATGATTAAAATTAGTTCAGCAAATTTTAAGAAAATCAGAAATTCTGATTATCAGATTTGTTACCTTGGTTACATAACTTATTTTTACATGGCTCAAACCTTTTTACAAATATGGGTATAAATAGTTTTTTCCTTCAAAAAATATATAACATCTTTTCTTGGGCTTTTAAAAGCCCAGTGCTCATCACATTGCTTTTCTAGCTGCATAAAGTGTGGTATACAGACCAGGGGTAGAGGCGAAGAGGCCACTGAGGCTCTTTCAGGGATCCTGTGAGGTCAAAACTATCTTCATAATACTAAGATGTTATTTGTCTTTTTCACTATGTTGACATTTGCACTTAATATTGTAAAATAGAGTGCTGTAAGATAGAGTGCTGGCATCTTGGCACAAATAAAAGCAATGAGTGACACCAAACTAGTACTGTATTCTTCACAGCCATACACTGGCAATTAAAAAAAAAAAGCCAGTTTTATAAAAATGATTTATTTTACTAAATCTCAACCCTTGAACAGATGTCTTTTGAATATTCTGTGTAACAAAATGGGAACTATGCATATAGGACTTTTGCATATAGAAGTATGACGGTTATTTTGATGAAAAGTACTTGTGTGACTGAGTTGCTACAAGGTGAACTGGCCATTTTTTATGGAACATCCTTTTCACTTCAAAAAATGACTGACAGAAAAACTATGGTTATTTGAACCTGAGTATCTGGTACATAATTTCCTCAAAAACAAACAAAGCAAGTCTGTCACTTTAAGAAAAGCAACTGACAATATCTGTTGCCATTAATAAAATTTTATCTTTCAAACAAAAAAGTTAGAATTTTAAAAACTAGTGGTCTAATTTTATTAGACATTAACAAGAAATTATCTAAGGGATTATTTTGAAACCAGATTAAAATTTCATATGAAAAATAGCCTATAAGAGAGAAACACACACAACTCAGATTTTTCTTTCTTTCTTTTTTTTACGACTCTGATTTCCGTATCATCTAATCTGAGAAGAGCTGACCACAAATTCGGTTATAATTAATCAATGAAGTTTATCAGAAGTCCAATGGTTTTGAGGGACAAAAACAGAAATATAATCTAAATTAATAGGTGAGTTTGGAGGATAGGGTTGTGGGTAGCAGGGTTGAAAGAACACAGGACATAATCTGTTTTCAAGTCAAGAGTTACTTATTCAGAAGTAAACAGATAATCCCAAAGGACTTGATAGTTAAAAACATAAAAACCAGAATAGATAACATAATATCACTTTCATTTTTATTTTCAACTTCTTCCACCATTAAAAGCATTTGCTACAGACAAACAAATCAAGCAATTTGCCTCTTTGTTGGCACTTTGTTTCCTGCTGGCTGGAAAACCATAAAATAAGAGTGAAAAAACTAGACCTGAAAGATAGAGAAATAAGCACATCTGTCTCTGAATAATGGGCTATATTTCCAATAAAAAAATGTCAAGGCAATGTTTTTATATAAGAAAAATAATATAAAGGTAAAACTGTCCAGTTTTAAACTAAAAAAAATATATTAGGATTAAAGGTTACAAAAGGTATGTGATACCACTTAAAACTCTGAGTAAAAATCTTTACTTTCATATCTATTATACTATGTGTAAAGAAAAAGAATTACTCTCAAACTCTTAATATTACTTACATATCTGGAGGAAGAAACTACGGGCACCTTATGTAGTATTATGACCATATGTAGTATTTTTGTATTGTTATAAACAGAGAAAGCATTTCAATTTTAACTTTTAAACTTAAAATGAGACCTAAACAATGAAATACAACCTAAAATAGAGATGTGATCCAAAAATCTTTCAACATGCTCTTTCAAAGAATATTTTTACGTGTGAAAACCGTTAAACACATTTTCCAAAGCTAAGAATCTTACTAATAACAATGTGGAAATCCATGATTACTAAATATAATCAAGATAAATTTTAAAATAGTTTAAATAAGCAATATAAAATGCTTCACAGGCCTCATGTATGGAACATAAACAACAAAATTAAGTTTTATGCCGTGTTTTTTGGTTTTCAGAAAAACTATTAGAAACTACTTCATTTAAAACTGCACCATAGTCAGACAGTGGAATATTATTTGGCAATAAAGAGATGAAGTTACTGATACATGCTGCAACACAGATGCACCTCTAAAACATTATGCTAAGTGAAAGAAGCCATACACAAAAGGTCACATACTGTATGATTACATTCATCTTTCAGAAAAGATTACATTTATCATGTCCAGAAAAGGCAAATCTATAGAGACAGAAAATAGTGGCTGCTTAGGGCTGGGGGAGAAGGGGAAGAATGGGGAGTGACTAATTGATATGAAATTTCTTTTTTGGGTTGATAAAAATGTTCTAAAATTTGACTGTAGCGATGGCCACACAACACTGTAAATGTGCTCAAAATCACTGAATTGCATACTTTAAAGGGGTAAATTTTATGGTATATTAATCACATCTCAAGAACACTGTTATTTTTAAAACTACTGCAGAAAAAAAAATTTAAATACCATCAGAGTATACATTTTTTTAAAACCTAAATTCTCAGATTTCTGGTTTTCTCAATAATACAGACAAAATCAGTTTTTCCTACACTAAAATAGGAGAGTAAGGGGGGTACCAGACCAGATTAGATTAATTCATAAAACTAAATTTAAATATTTCCTTTAAAATACAGATGAGGCATAAATTGTACTTTCATTTGTATCCCATTTTTTTAAAAGCTGAAATTAGCAGGTTTTCATAAAATAATTAAATGTGAGACTCTTTGTATCATCTCAAAAGGATGCTTTTCTAAGGGAAGAGAACTGAAGAGTGAGAACTCACATGATATATATAGTATCTTAGGGTGCTCTGGAGGCACAGATATAGACATGAATTGTTTTATTTAAGAAGGATTGGACCTCTTGGGAGATCCTTGTCTCTTTTTTCTTCCATTCACAGAATCATAGATTATTAAACCTGCAAGGTACTTCAGAGATTACTCGTCCAACACTCTTATTATATAAAGGAAGGAATTAGAACTGTCTCCCCCAAACCTCTGCAAATTATGACTAGGTGAATTCAATTACTTTTCCTTTAATATACAGTAGTGTTTAAGAGTGGAGGTTATGGAATAAGATGTCTTTGAGACTCTATTTACTTACCTGAAACATAATAACAGTACCTACTTCATAGAGTTGCTGCTATGAGGACTGCATAAGAATATATATAAGAGAATTGCTTAACACAATGTCCTGCACAACAGTAGACATTCAACGATTTTTTTCCACTTTTGCCCCATTGCTGTTTCCAGTAACCCCAACCTTTCATTAGCAGGTTGTAACAAGATGATTACCTTCTACACCAAGGCAGATTCCTAGCTATGTAGCACAAGTGTCATAGATACGGCTGATCCTGTCACACAGCTGACTTGCCAGACTCACAGAGACACTTTTTCTCCTCATAACAGTGAACAGGGACCAAGATAGAAAGTTTAAAGTGAGAAAAAAAGAAATAGGTGCAAAGTTGTCATAGACAATAAGGGACTCAACACATAACAAGAGTGAGTTTGCAAAGCAAATATCCAGAAGTAAACGCCAAATTCAAACCTTCCTCTGGCTAATAAACAGGCAAGTCCATTCCAAATGCCAGAACCTCAGAATCTAATCTACATATTTTGGTCAAACCCAGGAAAAAGAATAGAAGAAAGTTAGAACACACCTTTTCTTAATATTTACTAACATTTCTAAGGTAGGATCTATGTATATATCTATATAGCTAGATTCAAGCTATACTTCTATGTCATATTGAATTTTTAAGGATATCCCAGTAAATGTACTGATATAAAAATGGAGTGGAGGACTAATCATTAGAGAAATGCAAATAAAAACCACAATGAGATATCACCTCACACCTGTCAGAATGGCCATCATCAATAAATCAACAAACAACAAGTGCTGGCGAGGTTGTAGGGAAAAGGGAACCCTGGTGCACTGCTGGTGGGATTGCAGATTGGTGCAGCCACTATGGAAATCAGTATGGAGGTATCTCAAAAAACTGGAAATGGAACTACCTTATGACCCAGCAATTCCACTCTTAAGTATCTATCCAGAGAAACCCAAGATGCTAATTCAAAAAAACTTTTTGCACCCCTATGTTTATTTCAGCGCTATTCACAATAGCCAAGACTTGGAAACAACCAAAATGCCCATCGGTAGATGAAAGGGTTAAGAAACTGTGGTACATTTATACAATGGAGTATTACTCGGCCATAAATAAGAATGAAATCTTACCATTTGGAATGATATGGATGGACCTAGAGAACATTATGCTAAGTGAAATTAGTCAGATGGAAAAAGAAAAATACCATATGATCTCACTTATATGTGGAATCTAAAGAATATAATAAACGAACAAACTAATCAGAAATAGTCTCAGAGATAGAGAGAAAAAACTTATGGTTGGTAGATGGAAGGGAGGTGGGGACAAGGGAGAAGGTGATGGGATTAGAAAGCACAAATTGGTAACCACAAGATTGCCACGGGGACGAAAGACAGTTTGGGGAATATAATCAATAATGTAAAGATTTTGTAGAGTGTCAGGTGGGCACTTGTCTTATTACACTTCATAGACGGTGTAGATGCCTGACCACTGCGCCATACACCTGAAGCTGAATAACACTGAATGTCAATTATAATTTAATATACATATAGTCACAGGATGTGGAGAGCAGCATAGGGAATAGAGTCAATGGAATTGTTACAGCTACATATGATGTCAGAGGGATAGTAGACAGGGAGAAGGGGGCTATCACTTTGTGAGGGGTGTAAATGATCTATTACATTGTTTTGTACACCTGAAACTAATAAAAAAGAAACAGAGTGGAGGAGAAAAAAAGCATCCTGCCAAATTTATCAGGATGAAAAGCACTTGTTTGGCTAAAAATTACTACCCATAGGAGTCAATGATGAAATTAAAATGTTTAAAAAATCTTGGTCCAAATGCCTATTAAGCTCATATAAGATATCTTATTACTTATCCACCTCCTTTCTTTTAAATTCAGGTGAGAGGTCAGTCAGATTAAGGTCTTTTAAAAAAGAAGTATGAAAGAAATTATAAAATAAATGCAAGGTAAATGCAAGGGAAAAACAAGGACTATATCAACTGTAGAGACTGTCAGTTAAGATGATCACAATTATTTCACTGGTTATTAAAAACTGATATAGATATGCATATTTTGATGTTAGATTATATATTATGTGTGTATTCTTATATTCATACACAACATTTAAGATTTCACGTTTTTTCTTTCCAACCTTTAATTTAATATCTGTTTATACCTTTTCTTACCTCTTGTATTAATTTTGGTATGAACCTCGAGCTGGGGATCACTTGAAACCATACAAGGCCACCAAGGATAGGTTCCCACTTTAGACCAAACAAGATCGCCAACATGGAACTTAACACCAGCAGACACTTCCGTTGTTGGAACAGAAGATAATATCGGCTGAACCTACAGAAAAAGGTCATAAAGCATTAGCAAAGAAATTTTTAAAAAGAAAGTACGTACGAAGTACATTAAACATGCTACCCATGTAAACTTTATCTTCAGTTACACTTTTCTCTGATACCTGCTACCCATAACTAGCAAAAGGGAAGAGGACAGGAGGAAAATAATTAATAAGCCTCAATCCAAATACTAAAAATAGGATTGATGGTTTCTGTGGCCAAATTATTAATAATGTATCTTGAGAATTCACAAAATCTATCAAAAGTGGTTAAAGCTTTGAATAGGAAAATAATTCATTGAAAATATCTACCTCTTAAACCAGCTCCAAGATTTATTTCAGTATAACTTCTGAAATAAAGAAGCATGGAACTGTAATAATATATGTTAAATGTGTTGTAATCTAATCACTGTGCTTTCATCTTCTTATGACATATTTGGTTAGACAGTCTTCAATAAAGCAACTCACCGGGGTTTCCTCTTTTAGTACTAGATCTTCTCTTGGTTTTTCTGAAACAGGATCAACCCTCTCATTTGGTATCTAGGTGAAAAGGACAAAACGGCAAACCAAAGAATAGTGACTCACACAAAAAGAATCAAAGAAAACTAAATAGCAAAGAGAATAAAGGGTGTTTATTATTAATTGGATAACGTAAGGAGTAAGAATACAACTTATGCAGTACATTATGCTATGCCTTAACAGTCATTTTCTACTTCTCACCATGTCTCCCATTTCTTATTCTATTACTTTTAAAACTTAATTTCTTAATCTGTTGGTTCTTGCTTTCTGTTGTTTTTTCTTTAAACCTATCAGAATACAGAAAAATGGGCACTCTTGAGATTGCTAGTAAGATGTAATTTGGAATTTTTCTGTAGAGCAATTTGGCAAAATGTATGAAAAGTCTTAAATTTTCAGATTCTGACCCAGTAAATACACTTATAAAAATGTATACTGAAAAAGCACTGAGATATAAAAATAAGTACAAAGATATGCACAAAAGTACTATTTATAAGAGCAAGTATTAGAAATAGCCTAGATGTTAAAAAATGTAGAATTTGTTAAACTGTAATATAACTAGTTAAATAATATAAATTTTTAAATGACATGGGAAAATAACAATATAATGTTACTTAAAAACAGCAAATTGCAAAGCACTTTGCATAGTATGATTCCAATCTTGGAAAAATTATTTATTTTTTTTTAAAAAAGATTTTATTGGGGAATCGGGGAAGGGGAACAGACAAGTTGCTGTCCTTTTGTTCTTGTCTAGTTGTGGAGGACGTTGCTTCACTGGCCCATGATGGTATTATTGCGCTCTTCCTGGGTGAGGGAGATCAGTGGCTGGTCTCTGGACGGCCGTTCACGGCAGCTCTTGGCAGCTCACATAGGCTGCCGGCTACACATGGTAGCTCATGGCAGCCCACTGCAGCAGGGGCTGCAGCCTATGCCGTCGCCGGCGACTCACAGCAGCCCAGCTCCTGGTTGAGCTGTTGTTCACCATCTTAGCTGTAAAGGGCAGTGTCACTGGCCCTCATGTGGGATCCGAACTGGGGCCCTGTTGCTCAGAGCTGGTGTCCCAAACCAGCTCTTAACAAACATGCCACTCGGCCGGCCCGGAAAAATAATTTTTTTATGTGCATAGAAAAAAAACTAGACGGATATCACCACTGGATGGAATAAGTGATTTTTCTTTGTGGGTTTTTTTTTAAATATTTGTCAAGTTGGCTATAATAAACATTACATTACTTTTATAATCATAAAATATACAAATGTTATTTAAAAATTAATTTCTACAATCATCTGAGGAGGCAATTTGGAAGTATCTATCAAAATTCAAAATATGCACTCTTTAATCTTAACATTTATATTTTAGGAACCTATTCTACAGAAATACACAAAATGAGGGGCCGGCCGCGTGGCACGATGGTTAAGAGCTGGCTTGGGACGCCAAGGACCCCGGTTCGGATCCCACATATGAGGGCCAGTGACACTGCCCTCTACAGCTAAGATGCTGAACAACAGCTCAACCTGGAGCTGGGCTCCTGTGGCAGTGGGTTGCCATGGGCTACCGTATGT